ATAGTGAGATAAAAATCGAGGATTTCTAGAATAGGTATAAGGCCGATATGACTGTTCCCAAAAATGCAAAACATTTATAAGTACTGGACATTGGTAATCTGGATCAGGGTTGAAGAAGAAATTCCAAACTTACAACTCGAGAGTTACAGCGGCCGCGGAGCGGTGCGAAATTGGAGCGCGTTTATCGCTGGAGAAAGTTTTTGAGCGCGCTATGCGCCTGCGATAGTAAAGCCATGTAATCGGATGGAAATTGTATCGCCGTGTACTACCCTACCGATATGCAAATAATAACTTGCGCTTTACCTAATGCACATGCAGTGAACCGTGACATCTCAATTTGAACTCTTGCCCAATGCTTGTCTAATAATTCGATGCTTTCTTTCTCTTCAGTTTTTTCACAGTCAAATCCATTGTTCTCGATACTTCATCATTTTGAGCACTGGTCCAAAAATCTTTGTTCAAGGACCAACTACCATGCAAACGCAAGCCGATCCACGAAGACCAAATAGAATCGTCAGGTATGTCAGCAAAACGCTCCTTACTCTTTGTCCATTTTAATCTTTCCCCTTCCACTTTCTTCCTTCTACAGTTCATAGAGAAGGTTCTAGATTCAAAGCAGCAGATCCACAAGCCAACAATGCAATCAGTGATGACCCTCTTCCTGAGTACATGAATGTTTTGGGGATGATCTTCAGCATGTGTGGATTGATGATGAGGGTAAAGAGGTTGCCATGTTTTTAATATCTTCTGGATATAACATTTGCAGATGAAGTGGTGTGCTTGGATGGCTTTGCTGTGTTCTTGTGTCAGTTTTGCAAACACTCGATCATCAGACGATGCAAAACAGATTGTGAGCAGTTTTATGTGAGTTTTATACCAGTGGAGTTTTCATAAATTCTTTTGAAAAATTCACTTTTTGCACCGAAATACACCTTATCATTTTCAAGGCTTTCTGTTTCGGCTGTCGTGATGAGTTATCTGCAGAATCCTCAACCAATCATTCCTCCTTGGGCTTCGTTCATGTGATAGGCAAATTTGCCGTCGTATATACTAACTACTTATATGTGGTATGTGCACTGATTATCATATTTATTGTTATACATCAGTCGATAAATGATATTAAAGACGAAGTTTACTTTTTTCTGCTTGGAAACTAAAGCAGCGGCTCGGCAGAATTTCTTTTCCAGTTTTCCACT